GCTTTGATCTTCCTGCCTCCTTTTTCCCATATTAGGATTCTTGAGATCACATTGGGCCTGCTGGATTATCCCGGACAATTTCCCCATCTCCAGGTCTGTACCCTTAATCACATCTGCAAAGTCCCTTTTGCCACACGAGGCAACGTATTCACATCTCCCAGGGGTTAGGACATGGGCATCTTTGGAGGACTGTTATTCGCCTCCTACACCCTCCACTGTGGATTAGCAAAGTGTTTAGCTATTGTAAACTCTTGACAAATGTTCTTTTTTTAAAGATTTTTATTTATTGCGAGAGAGACTGAGACAGAGAGAACAGGAACGGGGAGGGGGGTGAGGGGCAGAGGGAGAGGGAGAAGCAGGCTCCCCACTGAGCCTGACACAGGGCTCCTCGAGGGGCTCCACGTGGGGCTCCATGCCAGGACCCTGAGATCATGACCTGAGCTGAAGTCAGATGCTGAACTGACTGAGCCACCCAGGTACCCCAACAAATGTTCTTATTGTTAGAAAACCTTGATTCTAGTTCTTAACAACATTATTTATACATTTCTGTAAGTGTTCTGTGAATGTCTTATCCTTGGCATTTGGCACGGCACATCGCACGTATTTTACTCACCAACTCATGTTCATCAGGTACTTTCCGCGTGTAAATCATGGTTACTAAAGCAATTGGGAACCCAGTTCCCACCCTCATGAGCATGTACTGTCAACTCTAGATATAGAATGGTGCTCAGATATTTATCAAATGAATTAATAAAGCAAAACAGCTTACTTCCACTTCAGAGGAACACATCATTGCTTTAGCTCTTACCATACTCTCTCCCTGGGATGCTCTTTCATACTTTTGCTTGACAAAATTGATCCATGCTTCAAGACTAGGCTCAATACCTGCCCTTTGCTTTTTTTGAGGAAATGCACATTGTAAGTTGTACTTGAACATGTTCCCTGCCTTGCTTTGTTAGCTAAGAAATGTATCTCAAAGTTGATGGCCTGTTCTCTAGCCACTATGTAAGACTGTATGGTTACTTACTGGACACTCATCTCTAACCTGGGATTTCTTTTCATAATTTTTCTTCACTTCAGTATTTATCTTTTATAGTCTCTGAATTTCTTCTAAGTTACCTTACATGATTTGTGAAATGAAGACACCATAAGTAAGTCATTTAAAATATATTATCCTCCTGTGTCAGTCAGTCAGGTCCTCTGGGAAACAGAGGCCAAGATAAAGTTAGAAGTGCAGGAAGTCTGTTTGGGGTAGTGCCAAAGAGAGATGAAGGGGTGAGGGGGCAGCAGGCAGGGAGGGCCATCAGACTGCGCTGTGGGTTTGACATCTACGAGAGGGTAGAAGAAGGAAGGCCGGGTGGGAAGAGCTGCTCTAGGGAAGTCTCGGCTGGCCCCAGAGTCCTGGTGCAGATTACCCAGAAAGCAGTGCTTTCTTGGGCAGAAATGGCCAGGTCCTAGCACCCCAAACTCCCGCCACTGGCTGGGGCTTCCCTGGGGAGAGTGCGGCTTTGGACCAAGTGCTGTGACACATCTTAACAGGTGCTGCAGCTCGAGGCTGTCGATTAACGGCCTCCTTGACGTGGGGGCTCCCCGCAAGGAGATCCAAGCTGCACACCTCCGGATCTAGCCTGCTTCTTGAGGCAAATACTGTCATGTTCCCTTTGTAACTTTGCCCATACGGCAAGTGTCCAGTTACTTCTTTTCATTGAAGCTGTGGGTGATGTAATAGCAATAGCATGATATGGTAGACCTTGGGTTTTAGAGACAAAAAGAACTGGATTCACATCTCAGGTTTTGTTTTAAGATTTTATTTATTTTAGAGAAAGAGAGAGAGAGGGAGAGAGAGTGCTCAAGAACGAGAAGGGGGAGTAGCAGAGGGGGAAAGAATCTCAAGCAGACTCCCCAAGCTGAGCCTGGAGCCTGACAAGGGGCTTAGTCTCACAACCCTGAGATCATGACCAAAACCATGATCATGAACGAAACCAAGAGGTGGACGCTTAACTGACTGAAACACCCAGGCGCCCGACATCTCAGGTTTTGCTAGGTTAGATTAGCTGGAATCCAGTGCAAGTCATTTAACTTCTCTAAACCTTTAAAGTCATAAAATGAGATTAATAATGTTATATCCTTCAGAATTGCTGGATTAAATGAAAGACCTACAATTTGGTGTCTGCCATTGAGATGGTGTTGAATAGCTTAACAACAGAAGGTGTTGAATAAATGTTCTTTTCTCCTTTACTCTTCACTTTCAGATACTACTTTGTTGTGGGATGAAGTGCTTGTGTAAATCCTGTCTCATTTGACTTAGATTAGGTATTATTGTTTCTAAGACATTGTGACTGAAGAAGGATAAGTGGGTTACTCAGTTCACACAACCAGAACAGAGGCAGAGGCAGGACTCGAACTCAAGCCTACTGGCTTCAACTTCAGCACGCTTTAGGTACTGTTGGTGGTTTTCAGGAAAATGAGCTGCCATGTCCCATCAGACAGTCACTCTCAGAAACACATGTTACTCTACACAGGTAGAATTTGGTGACAAAATGGGGAGAGACGTTGGGGATGAAAATCTGAAAAAGAAGGCGAATCTACACCTGTTGTGAATGAAAAGTGAACAGAGAATACTGCATGTATTTTTCAAATAATCTTATTGATAGGAGAAGGAGTTTTTAGACCTAAACAGTCTGGCAAGAAAACTGCTTAAAAATGGCTTTTCCTAGGCCTGAAAATATAAGAGGAAAGCAAGTTTCTTTCCAGATTCCCTAACACCTGCTATCGTGATTCTGCTGTTTCTTGCCTTTTTCTTTGTGCACAGTATGCTTGAGACAGATGCATGCAAAGCCATTTCCCTTCTGTGCTTTGTCATAACTTGTTCCTGATGTTCTCTTGTTTTGAGAAGCTTGGGATGTGATTAAAAACACCTTCCTCATAAATTATGGTTTTATCCTTTTGATTTCTAGAATATTAACTTGAGATGGCTCATTCTAGTCAAGCATCTCATTAGTTTCTTGTCTCCTTTTATATCCATCACAGTTTACACGCTGGGACCGATCAATTTGCCAGCAAAGTTAATGGATACAAAATTGTATTCTTTCCAGTTCTCAAGTGTCCGTGACGTCTCCCATGTGGCATTCTGAAGGTTGGTCTCATTCCCATGGCCTGTGAGTTTAAATCCATTCTAATTACCTTACCCCTACTCTTACCAATCTAATGGCCTTACCCCGTTCTCCCCTCCAGTCTCCTCGATATACCTAGGAACAGCTTCTGTCTCGTCTCCGCACCTATTTTGGGTTTTCTTTATTAAGATTTGATTTGAGAGAGAGCGAGTGAGCTCACAAGCGGCAGAAGGGGCAGAGGGAGAAGCAGACTCCCCACTGAGCGGAGAGCTGGAGGTGAGGCTCGATCGCAATCCCGGGCCTCCGGGATCATGACCTGAGCTGAAGGCAGATGCTTAACCAGGCGCCCCTACTTTGGGTTTTCTGGAAAAATTTAAAGCCGGTCCTGAGCCTGTGTGCCCTCAGACTTCTCCCACAGGCCTAGGCCAGGCACCAGGTTACTGTCATAGCTGAGGGCTGGAAAAGGAGACACAGAGCTTCCTAAGTCCTGTGAGGTAGACCCTGGGGCTAGGCGGTCATCCCTTCCTGATGCCTGCTGCCCAACATCCTCACGGCAGAATGACATGTTCTGAAGAAAAAGACTGTGTTGCCCTGAAGGTTCTGAAATCTTCTTTGAACACAGGCAGCCAGTCTCAACTGGCCCTTTGAGGATATAAACATGTGAATACCTTCAGAACGCTTCTCTGCTTAAGGCATCAAGATTTCTTCATGAAATATTAATCCAAGGTCTTCTGGAGGTTGAAATTGGATTACTTCTGCCTGCAACCCTCTCACCTTTGCTTGGGAGTGCCCTCAAGGACTTCCAAGCAGTGCCCTCAAGGACAACAGATTGCTCCTGCTTTCAAACACATTGAGGCAATTACAAATTGCTTGTGATTCTGGGGCACCATCACCCAACACAAACAGAGTTTGTGTAATCTCCAATGGATCAGATGTATCTTATTTAGATGAAGCGGGACCTTCTGTACTACTTCAGATCCTTCCTTGCTCAGGAAGCCCGTGAGTTTGCGCGAACTGCAGATCCACAAACTGCATCATGAAGAGACCAGTCTTTGTGATCTTCAGGTTTTTGTTTTTGGTTTGTTTTTGGCAGTAAAGTCTCCCACATCAGGAATTAGACTACTCACGCTGTTCTATTACATTGTAGAATTTTCTATTTACGTATTTTTCCTAATGCCTTTCTCTGCCCCTTGAAATACTACTTATTCTTCAAGATGGAGCTCAAATGGCCTCTTAGCTACTCCTTTGCCAACAACAGCAAAAATAAAAACCAGTAACAACAGTCTTTCCTAAATCCTGAAGCATAGGACTTGGACATGTTTATGAAATTTATTAAAAGATTCTCTGAATAGTTATCTGTGTCCAGATTTGATCTTTTCAAGTTTCTTCAAAGCAAACATTATATTGACAAATAGATGTATACATTTTCAACAGTGGGAATGTAGAACAAAACTTATCAAAACTTTTGCCATTCTCATGAAATAAATATAACCTGACTTATGATGACTCATAAATCAATAGTTTGTCAATTTCTTGAGTTAACTGTAAAAAAGATCTACAGAAACACACTGTAGTCTGTAAAAAAAAAAAAGCCTAGTAATTTTGTTGATTACTTTATAAAAGTTTAATAAGGGGCTTGTTAGTAAGATGGGGTTGGTCAATTTCCTAAATGTTTTCTTTTCCTCTCTTTGGCATGTGTCTGTTTATTAACATACATATTTATATGTTTGTCCCAGTGTTTAAGATTCCAAAGTGTACTTCATTACCACTCTTCCCTAAGAGTTATGAAAGTCACCATTGTGCTGTGTTAGTGAAGTTGGATGGGTTTTTAGATCGTAAAATCTAAAAATTTCCATTTTGTTTCTGAAGCAATAGCTCACACAGTTGTCAGACTTTATCACTGTATAAAAATGTACAGTGGTTTATTGACATATACATTCCAATATGTTTACAGCTGCAAGATAATGAGGCACACTCCGTATTGCACTTCATTAAAATTTCAGGCTCAACGTAACCTAGAAGTTTAAATGAAACTGCATTTGTAATTTAGTAATTCTTATACAGGACAAACATTGATATCTTTATATACAGTGTGATACTTATTACATTTATATGCCAGTCCTAACACAATTTTTTTTTTAAATAACAGTCTAGGAAATAAACCAGAATATTCCTCTTTTCATCCCCACCTGTGATGCAATTATACAGGATTACAAAAAGGCAGTATACAATAAACAATGATTATTTCTCTTTTTTGCTTGAAAGCCAGCATCATTCTTAGTCCATGGGCATGGCGATTCTTTTATATCAATTATCTATAAATGTTCAATGCTTCACAGGCCAATGACGGTAATGGCCACATGCAAACACCTCACAAGTTTGATGTCTTGGTTCAAAAGAAGATAAACCGAAAGAATGGGGAAACTTTCCATAGCAAGAATTATGTACATGGTATTTGGCATCCTTCTTGCACTGTGAATGGTTCATTTTCATGGATGTAAAAATGGTCCCGTCCTTATCCTGAGCAGAGTTTAAACTTTACCACATCCACTTGGGGGATGAGGGCAACTTCTTCTCTGTAGACAAAGGAATCTGAGTGTTCTAAAAAGTGTGAGCATTTCTGCACACTCCACAACCCAGAGCAAATTCTTCCCCAGTGGGTGGATGAACAACATGGAGTGGACATTCAGTTCCTTCTAATTGTTTGCCTTTGGGACCTGTATAAATTTTGAAGGAGGCAAAAGAATATAATTAAAAATGACACATACATACAAACCTAATGTAAATATAAATCACCAATAAGTTATTCAAAGAAATTATATGGCTATGGTTACACAAATATAAAATTTAAAAATTATTTTTCTTCTAGCTACAAAAGTAAAAATGTTCACCATAAAAAATTCAACATACCAGGTATATACAACAGAGAAAGGACAGAATCCCTTACCTACAACATCCTGCCTAGAAATAACCCCTATGAGCTATAGATCTTATTCTATTAGTGAATGAGATACATCACCTAAAAAAAAAATTTTTTTTTAATTGAAGTATAGTTGACACACAACACTACATCAGCTCCATATAACATAATGATTCCACAAAATCTATACATTATGTTATGCTCACCACAAGTGTAGCTACCATCTGTCACCATACAAAGCTATTCTAACACCACTGATTGTATTTTCTATGCTGTACCACCTTTCAGTCCCATGACTTATTCATTCCATAACTAGAAGCCTGTACCTCCCACTCCCTCTTTACCCATTTTGTATCCCCCTTCCTGGAACTATCAGTTTGTTCTCTGTATTTATGGGTCTGTTTCTGCTTTTTTGTTTTTTAGATTCCACATGTAAGTGAAATCATACAGCATTTGTCTTTCTCTGACTTACTTCACTTAGCATAATACCTTCTAGGTTCATCCATGTTATCACAAATGGCAAGATCTCATTCTTTTTATGGCTGCATAACAGTCCATTGTGTGTGTGTGTGTGTATACCACATCTTCTTCATCCATTTATCTATTGATGGACATTTGGGTTGCTTCCGTATCTTGGCTATTGTTAAATAATGCTACAATAAACACAGGGGTGCATATATCTTTTTGAATTAGTGTTTTCATTTTCTTTGGGTAAATACCCAGTAGTGGTATTACTGGATCATATAGTAGTTCTATTTTCACTTATTTTTTTAAATAGGCTCCATGCCCAGCATGGAGTCCAACATGGGGCTTGAACTCATGACCCTGAGATCAAGGGCTGAGCTGAGATCAAGAGTCAGAGGCTTAACTGACTGAGCCACCAGGGGCCCCTGGTATTTCTGTTTTTAATTTCTGAGGACCCTCCATCTTGTTTTCCACAGTGGTTGCACTAGTTTGCATTCCTACCAACAGTGTACGAAGGTTCCTTTTAGTCCACATCCTTGCCAACATTTGTTATTTCTTGTCTTTTTGATTCTAGCCATTCTGATTGGGGTGAGGTGGTATCTCATTGTGGTTTTGATTGGCATTTCCCTGATGATGAGTGATGTTGAGCATCAGATACATCATTTTACAGCAAAGAATGATGAACAAAAATGATAATGAAAACCCATCAGTTCAGTTGAACAGAAAATTATTCTGGATGAGGGAATATGGAAACTTCTGTATGAATGTTTTTCTCCAAGTAAGAACAAATTTAAGTGTAAATAAGCCATGTTATCCTTGTACCTTCTCTGAAGAAAAAGTACACACTGATGAATGGGAAGACTGATTATTAAAGATTGTTATTTTTAAAAGTATCTGAAGGGAGATTAGTAGAAAAATGAAAACTGGCCTAAATATATGAATGGTAAAATAATATAAAATTTAACAATGTGGAAGAAGCACTTTGGGGAAGATATAAGCTTAATAATAATCAAATAGATGAGGCTTAAAAATGGACATTAAGGAGGGCACGTGATGTAATGGTGTAATAAGACTGGTGAATCACGGGCGCCTGGGTGGCTCAGTTGGTTAAGCAACTGCCTTCGGCTCAGGTCATGATCCTGGAGTCCTGGGATCGAGTCCCGCATCGGGCTCCCTGC